GACCAGCAAGGTCAAGGAAGGTGAGGACTGAGCAGGGACCAGTGGGCCAGCCACGTGCAGGGCACATGGACGTCAGCGACAGCAGTGTCTCTGGAATGAAGCCAGAAACGGGTCGGCAGCTGAGCGTGAGGAGGGGAATCTGAAGAGACAGGAGGAGGTATGATGTGGTCATCTGGAGAAAGGGGGTGACGGGGCTAGGGACAGGAGGGGCAGGGGGCAACGCTAGGGATGTGTGGTCATGACTTTAAAGTCGGCCTAGTCAGAAGGGGAACCACCCAAACTCCACTGTAAGAAATTACCTGGAATACTTAAAAGGTAGTCTCTGCCCCATTATTTATAATCACAGAAGTGAGAACAAATTCAAATACCCAGAGACGATTGTGAAATGAGGTGTTACATATACACTTAGCCATTTTTAAGTATTTCTATATGATAAACATCCTTTATAAAATATTTGCAAAAAATATGGCTTAATACCTATAGATAAAGTCAAGAGGGCTTTCTCCCCTAATCTTAAGAACCAATGTGAAAAAGATAATCTTCCCAATAAAAAAATGAGCAAAGGATAGAAACCTTATTCGCACCAGAAGAAATGCAAATAACCGTTGTACACGAATGAAAAAACAATTTCAACTTCTTTTTTAAAAAGCATATTTTTTACTGTTTATTCATTTTTGAGAGAGAGACAGAATGCGAGCGGGACAGGAGCAGAGAGAGAGGGAGACGCAGAATCCGAGGTAGGCTCCAGGCTCCGAGCTGTCCGCAGAGAGCCCGACGCGGGGCTTGAACCCACAAACCGTGAGATCGTGACCCGAGCTGAAGTCGGACGCTCAACCGACTGAGCCACCCGGGCGCTCCTGATTTCAATTTCTTTTCAAAGAAACGCAGTTGGGAAACAATGACGTGTGATCACTTTCCTATCAAGTTGGCAAGGATTAAAACCAGCAAAAGCTTGGTGGTCAGGAGCCACTCGCGGAGAAGTGAGCTCAGCAGCAGGTCAGGACAGGAAGTCTAGTCTCTCTGGAAGGTGGTTGGCAACATCATCAACAGCTTTTGCGACGTACACAGCCCTGACGCAGCCAGTCCTGTTCCTGGAGTTGACTTCGTGGAAATGCCCAGAGATGCCTGGGCAGATGATTGTCCCAGGAAACGTCATTTGCAACGAGCCGCGGAACATGGCAGACGTATGGACGTATTTGAAAATCGAAACTGCACAGAACGGTGGGAGGCCTCCCCCCGCAACTGTTGACGGTGGCCGTGGGGCAGTAGTGAAAGTGCCGACAAGGAGGGTGGGCCTCTCTCCCCTTTTCTCCTCACTCTGGGACGACCAAGTATCACTTACATGAGCCAGTGGAGAAAGAATCCATGTTATTTAAAAATCATGTTTATAAACTTAGAAAGAACCTGGGAAAGGGCTCACGCATGTGAACTGAAAAGCAGAATCAAAATTTAAGCCGCAGTGAGATCTTAACTGTGTAAAGCATGTGTTCGGGGACGACGTCTGCGAAGAAACCCATCAGTGGCTGTCTCGGGGTGACTGCAAAGGGATGACTTTCTCCCCTGCTTTTGACTTACCTGCGTTTTCAGTTTTACTGCAGACTATCACTACGTGATGCCAAAAAAACCCACGTTTTAAAAATTAATCTCTTTGGCCTGCCACGCGCGCGGGGCTGCGGCGCGGCGCGGTGACAGGCGTGGGAGCCGAGGCACCTGGGCGCGAGTCCCCCGCGCCGGCGCCTGGGTCCCCGGGGCCGCGCCCGCAGCCACCGCCCGGGCGGCGCTCTGGCGCCCTCGGGTGCCCGGCCCGGGGAGTGCACAGGACGGACCCCCTCGGCCGCCGCCCAGGGGCCCAAACCCGTCGGCCCTCGGGCGCCATCGCCGGAAGCGGGGGGGGGGGGGGGGGGGGGGGGGGGGGGCCGGGAGGGGGTTTCCTTCTAGGAAGCTACCCACCTCCGGCAGGGACCCTTTCCTCAAGCTCACACCCCTCCCTCTCAGCATCCCTCTTCCAGGGGCACCTGGCCGCAGCCCCCTTAACACTTTTTCGAGAATGTCCCCCATCATCCCAGACCTTGCTCTTTTTCTCACTGACTTGTCACTGCGGCCCAGCTCCTTCGCCCCAGGGAGCATATACTTTAACATCTCTGCTTTCCCTTCAGAGGGGAGAGTGATGTCACAGGAGCAGGGGCGCCTTCTGGCCGTGTGGCAGTTCACTTAGAGCCCCCGTTTCCAGGGGCAGAGGGGATGATCCCTCTCAAGACTACGGGGGGTCAAATGAAATAGGGCAGAGATGCTTCGGGATCTAGAAAGGGCCAGGGGAGCGGTTGCTCTCCGTGGCTCCTGTTCCCTGTGTGGGGCCCTCCCCTCGCCCCAGACCCCTGGCTCCTGGCTTATAAAGTCATCTCCCCCTCCGAGGCTCCTGCTCCCCCGAACAGTCCCCTCGTCTGCAGCCGCACGCACGTGCTGGGACGTCGGCTGGGGTGGAGTTTCTCCGAGGACGCAGAGTGTGCGGTCCTGTTTGTCTCCCTGCCCCCAAGCTGAGCACAAAGGGACCTCAGCTGCTGGCTTGCAAAGTCAGACCCAATGCTGTCCTGCTGCCCTCACTCTCTCCTACACCCTCCCCCGTTTGTCCTTGACCCAGGTCCTGAGGCAGCTCGGGGCCTGGCAGACAGAAGGCTCTCAGGTGGGTGCTGACCGGATGAAGGAGGTTAGGAAGGCGGGGCCCTCCATCAGGCTCTACCCCTCTGTCCTTGGGGACAGGGCCCTGCTGATGTCAAAGCCTCTCCCCACCAGGCACCGGAGGACCCAGGTGTGGATCCGAAGCTCTGAGGGCTTCAGCTCGCATCCCCCAGAGCAGGGGTGAGGCTGGACGGTCCCGAGCACGAGGATGTGGGTGACCACGCGACATGTGTGTGTGCGTGTGTGTCTGCCCCTCCAAACTCTCGGTGACGCCCATCAACAGAGACAGATACCACAGCAGCCAGGGATAGAAACAACTAGTGTATTGATTTGGGGAGAGAGAAGGGTGCAGATGGGAAAGGGGGGGCAAGGGGCTCTTTAGTGTTTGCAAACCCACAGACGCACACCCTCCACCGCTTGTCACCTTCCTCCTCCGGGGTGGGGCCACGGCAGGCTCCCACCCTTCCTCGAACCCTCCCCTCTCCCTGCTCCCCTGCACCCACTTGACCTTGACCTCCAGTAACAGGGCAGAGCCCTCCCTTCTGGCTTCCAGGTGAGGCAGGCTCAAAGAACCTTCCTTCCCCTCTTTCCCACCTCATTCCCATCTCTTGTCTAAATAAAATACAGAAAAAGCAAGTGCGGCTGGTACCTGGCAGAATGAGTCGCCCCCGGGGCTGGGGCAGGGGTGGGACTGGGACGGGGCGGGCAAGGAGCCTCAGCCAGGTGTAGTGGACTGACGGGGGCTGGCCGAGGGGCCCGGCTCGGCCCCCTCTCCCTTGGAGGGCGGCCCAGAAGGCTCCACACCCGCCTCGCAGGCACCATGTTCGTGGGGTCCCCGGGGTGGGGGCAGCAGCAGGGCGCAGAAGCAGAAACTAGGCTCTGTAAAAAGCATCCCTTTCCCTCGGCTTCTGGAGGAAGCCCTCTTTGGTTTTAAGGCAGATGTGAGTTTCCCGGAAGCAGGGAAAGGACGGGGGTGGAGATAGAGCTT